ACAAAGCTCCTCTCAGCCAGATGGCTGTGGGCAAGGTCCTCCTGCTCCCTCTCTTCGGATGTGGATGCATTCTTCCTGTCCCCAGGGAGAGCTGCCCTGTCTTAGAGAGTCAGGCTGGGGATGGCCCCAGCACTTGGCTTTTCCCCCTTCCCAGGGCCCCATCACTCCCAGCCTCCCCTGGGTGTCTGTGCCTCTTGCCACTTGCTTGTAAGTTTCCTAATATAGCCTGGCTGTTTCCTCCCCAACTGGTAACCAAGAGCCGCTCTCCTGTTGCAATCTCAATTTTTCTTAGGCTTAAAGGGACCATGTCAGCCCATCTCATGCCAACTTTAAGCTAAAGGTAGATTGGCTGATTTAATTTCACAAACTTGTCCAACCCAGAGATTAGATGTTCTACCATCTTCTCTGCTCTATTCTTGTTCACTTTTCCCTTTCATAGATCTTTTTTTCCTCCTTTCTTCTGAGCACAGTGGAAGGAGCACAGCTAAACACGATGTGAGTTTTGGTATATTTACGAGCTGTGCTGCCTTGGGTGAGTCGTAGAGGAACCATTAAATACCTCTCTAGGAGCGAGCCATGCAAATTTCTGGAGGAAGAACAATCCAGGCTGAGGGTGTGGAAAATAGACCATGGCTAGTGTGTGGGGGGAACAGCAAGGAGGCCTTTGTGGCTATGGTGGAGTGAGGGAAAGGGAAGTGAGGGGAAGTGAGGACAGAGGAGTGATGGGGGATGAGATCAGTAGGGTCTGTGGGTCACTAAGGACTTCAGCTTTTCCTCTGAATGAGAAGAGGCAGAGCAGTGTCATGATGGTGACTTTCTTACATTTGAACAGAATCCCCATGATAGGCGTGTTAGGAATGGATAGAGAAGCACAGGGTGGAAACAGACCAGCGTGGCCACCATCATGAAAATCCCGGTGAGAGACAAGGGTGGCTTGGGCTACCATCTAGTAGCAGCAGGGGTAGTGAGAACTGGCTGGATTTCAGACGCACTGGGAAAGGAGAGTTGACAGGATTTTCCGACGGGTATTTGCAGAATACTGTGCTGGGGTGTTGGTGATATTTTTTTTCTCCTTAAAAGTTAATTAACTAATCATTTAATCAAGGTATATCATTTAATCATTTAGTCAAGGTATAGTTTCCATGCAATAAAATGCATGTCAAGTGTACAGTCTTGACAAATGTATTTACCTGTGTCACCACCAGCACCATCAAGGTAGAGAACATTTCTACCAATTCAGAAAGTTCCCGTATGTCCCTTTGCAAGTGGATCCCTCCTGCCCGCAGCCCCGGTAACCACAGATCTGCTTTCTTTCATTCTGCATCAACAGCTTTTTTTCCAGGCTTTGATGTAATCGGAATCACACAGTCTGTATTCTTTCGTCTCTGGTTTACTCACTTAGCGTGTTTTCGAGAACCATGCCCTATAACCAGTAGTCCGTTCCTTTATACGGCTGACCGGTACTCTACTGTGAGCCTGACAACCTGTCCATCCATTTAGCAATTTACCAGCTGATGGACATTTGGGTTGTTTTCACTTGTTGTTGTCATTGTCTCCTTTTTAATCTTCTCCCTGAACCCTAAAAAGTGGGTATTATTTTTCCATTTTCCAGATAAGCAAATTGAGAATCAGGAGAAGTAATGAGGTTCCCCAGATTAGATGATGTGTGAGATCAGCTTATCTCAGGCTTCTCGTCTCTATCTGTCCTTCTGCCTCCCATACAATGTGACCACACGGGGATGAGCTTGGAAATGGGAACACATTAGTCTTCCATCTATCCATCTCCCAATTGGATCATCACCTACACCAAGCTCTCATTTCTCTATTCTCTGCACCTGCCACTCACGTCCATTTGAATTGGTTTCATACCCAGTTCTGCTCCTTCCTTACTGGGTGACTTTGGGCAAGTCACATAACCTCTCTGAACCAGTCCACCTGTGTTGGAGATCATATTTATATCTACCTCTGAGATCATGCCCAGTGATAGCTTCTTTCTCTGTCTCTCTCCACTTCTCTTTGGCCCTTTTACGGTTCATATTCTATGGTCTTGGTTTCTCACAGCAGTCATTGAAGGGAATTCTGCCATCCCTCTCACTGATGGCTGCTCCTGCCTGCTATACAGAGAGTTTGCAAGACCTGGGGACCTTCCCCAACAAATTAAACTAAATTTTCTGGTGGTGAGGCCTGGAAATTGGTTTTTTTAAAGATTTTATTTATTTGATAGAGAGAGAGAGAGAGATCACAGTAGGCAGAGAGGCAGGCAGAGAGAGAGGGGAAGCAGACTCCCTGCTGAGTGGAGAGCCCGATGTGGGGCTCGATCCCAGGACCCTGAGATCGTGATCTGAGCCAAAAGCAGAGGCTTAACCCACTAAGCCACCCAGGCGCCCCCGGAAATTGATTTTTTTTTAAGAGCTTCTGAAGAGCCAGGATAGAGAACTGTGGACTCAGAGCGTGAGCTTTGGGCATCAGACAGACTTGGGTTTGGATTCTGCTTCCTTGGTCAAGTCACTTAACCTTTCAGATCACTATCTTCCTCTTCTGTAAATAAGTATCATCACAGAACCCACCTTTCAATGAGCCCTAGGCACTATACGTGACTCTTAATGGGGTCTCTTCATGAAGAAGGGTCTGGGGGAGGGACAGGACTGGAGGCCTGATCTGGAACAGCCTGTGCTGGGAGGGACCAGGCAGAATTGATTCACGTGGACACACTGTCCTCCACCTGCAAAGTCACGGTGCCCAATTCCTAGAAGGCCAGCATCTCAAAGTTGGGCCAAACTTTAGAGAGCTTCATATCCAATACAGTCATTGACAGGGCAATTAAGGCCTTAAGAAGGGAAGATAGTTGCCCAAGGTCACACAATGAGATGCAGTTTCCAGACAAGTTCAGCCAATCAATCAGCAAATATTTATGGAGCACCCCTATGTGCCAGGCCCTATTCAAACTATTGGGGCTGCATGAGAGACCAAAACAGGAAAGATCCCTGCCCTCATGGAGCTTCTATTCTAGTGCGTAGAGAAAAGCCATAAATATAATAATTAAGTCATAGGATATATTAGAAAAGGATACATACTATAGAAAACAGAAGTAGATTGGGGATACCTGGGTGCTTGTGGAAGTGCAAGCAGATCTGGAGGAAAAGAGTTCCAAGAGGGGGAACAGCCAGTGCAAAGGCTGGGAAGCACTCCTGTTGGGCTGAGCTTAGGAATCCCTTTCCTGGCTCATCGTTTCAATTCCCTACCCACCATGGGCATTTGCTGGGAAGAAGGCCACTTGGGTTTTTTGGTTAACCAGGGTAAAGTAGGAGATTGTGTTTAAAACAAAGGCTCTGAATTTCCTCCCTTAACTCAGTGAACATTATGGCAGGCACTATTCTACATGCTGAAGGCATGAAGACAAAGGCAGGGACCTGGCTTTCAGCGGAATACTTATATAGACTTTCCCAGGAGCTCATGTGCTCACGCTAATGGACACACAAGGCCTCTACCGGGGATATCTCCTTGTACACACCACTATCCTACACACACCCATGGTCTCACACAGTCTCAGCTTCCTTAATGCCCACAACCTCATACACTCAGCCCCAAGTGCTTCATATTACTCTGTGCTTTAACACTGAGACAGCCTTGCACACCCAGAACCTTCCACACACCCACAATGTTGCCTCTAGGAACCTGGGCACTTACTCCTCTGTGTACACACTGCATTGCACACTCTGATCTCATACAGTCAAAAGATACTGACATGATGTCCTTAAAGTCTTCTATACATATGGCCTTGCACAGATATACACTTTCTCATGCTTTCCAACAGAGTCCCATGCTCTCCAGCATTCACACTACTCTGCGAATTCACTGTCTTATCCTTTCATGAGCTTGAACATGCACGTCACCTTGCACAATAGGATCACAATGCACATGCATTTAACTCACATACCAACAGATGTGTCTGCTCACACAACCCCATCCTCTTTGAATTTCTAATGGTTTTGCACCCTCACTCAACTTTGCCTTTCCTTATATACTCAAGACCTCAAATACTCTCATGACCTTGTTACATCCAATTATGTCACACTTATGTGATCTCAGTCACCCTCTGTGCACACACAGCCTTGCACACTCATGATTCAGCACGTTCCACTGCTTTGCACACTCCCACACAGGCAAATAGTGCCATTACCCCACAAACTGCCTTGCCCACTCATTCTTTTGCATGTTCAGTCTCTCTTGTGTGTTTCAAAATCTGTGTGCTCATTCCAATTCACACTCGCTGAACCTCAGCTGCTTGGACAACTTCACACTTTGAAACTGACTCACCCGTGCTGTGAATTGTGTTATGACTGATGATTCACAGACCTGTACCCCTGAAGCAAATAATACATGATGTGTTAATAAAAAAAATAATAAAACTGACTCACCCTATTTCGCATACCTGTGACCTTGCTGTGTTTCTACCAACAGAAATATTCCCTCCATTGTGCAAACTGCTTCTGGCCACCCACTCGTGTCCTCAAACACCTGTTTAACGGCATGCACTCTGGGATCTCAGCTGCTCACACAGCTTCACACACTGATGTGACCTCACTCTGTCCCATCCAGCGTGACCCTGTCGTGGGGCCACCGTGGGAAATAGTCACACCATCGCGCAAACTCCTGGCCCTCCACTTGTGTCCTCACACCCTCGTTTAACTGCATGCACGCCACGGTCCGGCCCGCTCACACCTCTTCACACACCGCCGTGACTCACACAGCCTCACTCTGCCTCGACCCCTGTGCCCCTGTGCGTTGCCACCACCCGGGGTATCCACAGCCCCGCGTGATCGCCTTCCGGCTTGCGCACCTACGTCCTCGCACGCTCCGCGAAGCCCCGGTCATCCCCACCCGCGCCTCGCCAGCCCTCCCCCCGCTGAGCTCCTTGCTCCGGCCCCGCCGCTCCGCCGCAGCCCCGCGCCCACCGGGCCCGCGAGCCGCGCACTGACGCGCCCTCTCCTCGCCCGCAGGGACCTACCAGGGCCAGTTCACCAACGGCATGCGCCACGGCTACGGCGTGCGCCAGAGCGTGCCCTACGGGATGGCCGTGGTGGTGCGCTCGCCGCTGCGCACGTCGCTCTCGTCCCTGCGCAGCGAGCACAGCAACGGCACGGTGGCCCCGGACTCGCCCTCCTCGCCGGCCCCCGACGGCCCCACGCCGCCCCCGGCCGCCATCCCGCGCGGCGGCTTCGCGCTCAGCCTGCTGGCCAACGCCGAGGCGGCGCGGGCGCCCAGGGGCGGCGGCCTCTTCCAGCGGGGCGCGCTGCTGGGCCGCCTGAGGCGCGCCGAGTCGCGCACGTCGCTGGGCAGCCAGCGCAGCCGCGTCAGCTTCCTCAAGAGCGACCTCAGCTCGGGCGCCAGCGACGCCGCGTCCACCGCCAGCCTGGGCGAGGGCGCCGAGGGCGCGGAAGGCGCCGACGAAGCCGCGCCCTTCGAGGCCGACATCGACGCCACCACCACCGAGACCTACATGGGCGAGTGGAAGAACGACAAGCGCTCGGGCTTCGGCGTGAGCGAGCGCTCCAGCGGCCTCCGCTACGAGGGCGAGTGGCTGGACAACCTGCGCCACGGCTACGGCTGCACCACGCTACCCGACGGCCACCGCGAGGAGGGCAAGTACCGCCACAACGTGCTGGTCAAGGGCACCAAGCGCCGCGTGCTGCCGCTCAAGAGCAACAAGGTCCGCCAGAAGGTGGAGCACAGCGTGGAGGGCGCCCAGCGCGCCGCCGCCATCGCGCGCCAGAAGGCCGAGATCGCCGCCTCCAGGTAGGCCCCGGGCTGGGCGCAGGCGGGGTGGGCCTTGCTGGGGAAGGGGTTCCGGGCCGGGCGACCCCGGAGGCCCAGGCTCCAAGCCTCTTCTGCTTCTTTGACCATCAGGGGTACCTCGTGACTTTTAGAGAGTCAACTGGAGGCGCTTCTATTCCCGCTGTCGGTCCGTCCGTCGATCCATCCATCCACTCACCCAACTGTCCATCCATCCATCCACTTAACTACTCCTTCCCACCCATTCACCCAACCGTCCACTCACTTACCCCTTCCATTCATCCAGGCTAACAGGCTCCTGAACAACCATTTCTTCACCCCACCTACCCACTCCACTTTCTGTTTACCCATTCAGCCGCCAGACACCCATCCAGGCACCCAGTCATCTGTTCCTTCACCCAGCCCCTCGTTCACCTAACTTCTCCACTAACCTCCTGAATAACCCCTCCATAAGGACAACGACCCCGCACTCAGCCTCTCTGACATCTCTCTGGACAGCTACCCATGCACCCAGCCACATCCTCACCCCCCCCCATCCACCCATCCACCGTAACCCCCCTTCCACCCACCCAGCCTTCCAGTTACCCACCTATCCACCCTACCACCTGGACACCCGTCCAGACAACCATTCAGCCACCTACCCATCCCCTTGTTCACTGACCACCCACATTCATTCTACTTCTTCCATCCACCCCGTCATCCATCTTAACATCCGTCCATGCATTCATTCGCCTAACCACCTCCATTCGCCCAGTCTCCTCCATTTAAACCCAGTCACTCCCATCACCCAACCATGCTTCCATCAACCGAAACAACATCCACTCCCACCCACCTACCCTCTCTTGCAGGCACCCATCTATCATCCAGCCAGCCAGCCATCTCTAGAGCCCAACCATAACTTCCGTTCAACAGTCCATCTCTCTTCCACTCACTCAGCTACAATCACTCAACTACCTACTAGCCCTGAGTCCACTTACCTTCCTAACCATTCAGCACCCACGCTTTCATCCATATTCAGACCCCTCCATGTCTTCTCAGTGTACTTCAGAAAAAGTCTTGGGCGCCTGGGGGCTCAATTGGTTAAGCAATTGCCTTCAGCTCAGGTCATGATCCTGGAATCCCGGGATCGAATCCTGCATTGGACTCCCTGCTCAGCAGGGAGTCTGTTTCTCCCTCTGACCCTCTCCCCTCTCATGTTCTCTCTCTCTCTCTCTGTCTCAAGTAAATAAATAAAATCTTAAAAAAAAGAAAAAGTCTTAATATTGTCTGCAAAATGTATAGTTCTTGCTGTGTATGTGGCACTGTTTGAGTAGTTTACAAATATTGAGTCATTTAATCTCCTTATGGTACCTTATAAGATAAGTTCTGGTTTTATTTCCATTTTACACATGGGTTAAATGAGGCTTAGAGAGGTACAGTGACTTGTCCCAAATCACCCAGGTAGTGAATGGCCCTTCCTAATCTGGTTCCTACACTCCTATTCAGCCTCATTTTCTACCACTCTTGCCCTAGACCTGGATTTTATTCTCTGAGCTAGTCATGCTGGCCTTGCATCATCCCTCTTTAGTTCCTTCTGCCAGAGAGTTTTGTTCCTGCTGGTCCCCCGCCTGGACTGCTCTTCCTCCCCCTTATTGCCCATTTAATTCCTACTCCTCCTCAGAGCTCAGGTCCAGCCTGACTTCTTCAGGGAGCTGATGGAGCCCAGCCCCCTATTAGAGGCTGACCTCACTCGACTGCATGGACGTTTTCTTTTCTTTTCTTTTCTTTTTTTTTTAATATTTTATTTATTTATTTGACACAGAGAGAGAGATCACAAGTAGGCATAGAGAGCTGAGCAGGCTCCCTGTTGAGCAGAGAGCCCGGTGCAGGGCTCGATCCCAGGACTCTGGGATCATGACCTGAGCTGAAGGCAGAGGCTTTAACCCACTGAGCCACCCAGGCACACCTACTGCAAGGATGTTTTCTTACAATGTCTCACATTTGCAACTTTATGTTCCTTATGTGATTTGTTTTTAACCTGCCATTTATAAAGGGCTCTCTATGTGCCACTGTCCTGAGGCCTTTACATAAATGAACTCACTTAATCTTTACAACATCTCAATAAAGGTAGGTACTGTTACTCTTCCCCTCCTGCAGATGTGGAGTGAGCTGCAGGGAGGGTGGCGGGTGTGGTGGGACAGTGGTGAAAAGCACTCGTATGTCCTGGTGCCCATAGCAATCCTGCTGGAGGCTCTAAGTGGCCTGGGCTGGAGGCTGTGGCACTGTGGTCTTCCGAGTAGAACAGACATAGGACCAAGTCTTGGTTCTGTCGTTGTTAGCTCAGAGACCTGGGCGCATGAGTTTGCCTGTCGGAGCTTCAGTTTGCCCAACCGTGGCGCCACCGTTTCTTAGTTATACGTTCTTGGCCAAATCAGTTTTCGTCTTCAACCTCAATTACGTAATCTATAAAAATAGGGTTAGTCTGGGGGTTAAGAAAGGCAGCGCAGGTCCCGTGGTTTACAGTCCTGTCGTGGGGTGAGTTTATGGGGCAACATTTGTGGGGAAGGGAAGGAAGCTGGGCTGGACAGAGGGAGACGCTGGGCTATAGTGCATTCTCCACAAAGGCCTCGGTGAACCACAAGGGGTGCGCCGCAGTGGAAATGACCTTCAGAGTTGTCCCTAGTTGAGGAGAGGGTCCTGGGTCTTTACACCCTCTGCGGTGGCTGCAGCTACCCTCCAGAAAGGGGCGTGACCTGGGGCTGGAGGGTTCTCTTCAGCCAAGCCCCACCCCTGGGCAGGGCTGACAGCCGGTGCCCCTCTGAGCGGCTAGGGGAGGAGGAGAGGAGAAATAAGTCCTCCCATCCTGAAGAGGAAACCGGAGGACACATCACGGTACCCATCACAGTGCTGGACACCTAGCAAAGTAAGTATCACCTAGTCATCGTCGTCGTTCAGTGAATTCATTATACAGATGTGGAAACTGAGGCCCAGAGAAGGAATGTAATATGCCCTGAGACCACCTGGCAAGCCAGCGGAAGAACCAACGCTCCAGGTCCTAAATTTCTGATTCTGAAGCTTGAACCAGCACATCTTGCTATCTCTGAACTTGGTACACTTTAAATTGCTATGAATGTGTGTGCAGATAGTATCATTAAGCTGGAAAGAAGGTATTTTAAAATTTTAAGAAAATTACCCCTACTCTCAGCCCAGTTCCCCGTAGCATTAAGTTCTTACGTTACCATAAGACATTGGTCACAGCCAACACTGGTACATTGCTGTTAATTTAACTCCAGACTTCGTCTGAGTTGCACTAGTTTTCCCTCTACTGCGCATTTCCTGTTCCAGATTCCCTCTGGTATCCACATTGCACGCAGTGGTCCTGTCTCTTTAGTCTTCTCTGCTCTGGGTCAGTTTTTCAGCCTTCCCTTGTTTTTCGTGACCTTGAGTTTTGAGAATTACTGGCTGGGCATTTTTGTAGAACATCCCTCAGTTTGTCTGACGTTACACTGAGGTTATAGGCTTGGGGGAAGAAGACCACAGGAGGCAAGATGCCCTTAACATATCGTATCAGGGACACGTGGTCTCAACGTGACTCGTCACGGATGACGTTAACCTTGAACACGTGGTGTCTGCCATGTGTCTATGCTGTAAAGTTACCATTTCCTCCTTTCCATACTCTGTTTTTTGGAATCCATACACTAAAGTTCAGTCCACACTTGAGAGGGAGAAAGGTCTGGAATTAAGCTCTAGAGGGCTGAGTATCAACATTCATTAGCTGTAATTCTTCTGGAAGGAAGATTTGTCCCTTTTTCCAAAGGGAACATTTTTCATTATTAGGCCAAGTGACATAGCATTGTGACAGGCGTAAGCCTGGACTGTCCTGGGCCACCCTGGGACAGGGCAGAGCTTACAAGAGGTAAGAGCTTAGGCTCTTGATTCAGAAGATGGGGAGTTCGCGTTCTTGCTCCCCTCCTGAAAAGCTGTGTGATCAAGGGGCTTCACCACTCTGAGCCCTGGATCTTCTTTCCTCCTAGGGTTGTTTTGAGGTGTAGGTGAGCTAATGCCTCTAAAATGCCTGGCACAGAGCACCCAGCAGCAAAAGCAGTCATCGTCATCATCTAACCTGTTCGATTTCAAAGGTGAGGACATAGAGGCTTGGAAAGAAGGAGGGATTTCCCCAAGTTCTCACCTGCTGGAGGCAAAATCTTGCCCCCCTCTACCGCCTTTCTTTCCCTGACCTCCTTGTCCTTGCCACCAAGGCCTGTGCCTTTGAACGTGACGATGTTAAGCTCAGTTGGAGAAGGCTGCCAGGCCCATAGCTGGGAACTGCATCTTTGGAGTGAGAAGGTATTGTCCGGCTTCCCCCATGAGCTCTGCTGGGAGGGGGGCACAGGGGGGATTTGGATTCCTTGTGTGTCTAGGGAACATGTCCTGTATGCCTACAGGGCCCTTATCATGTGGGGGGGGGCAGCTCCCTGGCTTGGTTTAACGCTCAGACTGAATTTCCAATTAAGGGAATCTTTGGGTTAGGAGGAAAAGCAGGGTTGTCTCTCCTGCAGAAGTTTTGGTGAGTAATTGAGCTGCAGAGGAGCAGGGGGCCTTCCTATCAGCCACCAGCCTCCCTGGCTCTCAGGCAGACCTGGGGTTCCTCTTGGTGTGGCCTCAAGCTCTTGGTCCTGGGCTTCTATGGAACTTGCCAGCTCAGAGTCTAGGATCAGGAGAGCTTTCCCAGGGATAAGAGAGAAAACTTGAGGCGTCATGTCCCTCTAAAATGGACTGTGGACTGGAAAAGATTCTAGACCTGCAATGTCCAATATGGCATTGGACAGCCATTCAGGGGCTGCTGAGCTCTGGAAATGGGGCTGATCTGAACTGAGATGTGCTGTTAAGTGTGAAACACACACGGGATTTCGGAGACTTAGCAAGAAAAAAGAGTAAAGGAACCCGCGAATTTTACAATGATTTTTTTTTTAATATTGATTACATGTTGAAATGACTATGTTTCAGGGGTATTGAGCTGGATA